AGAGGATCTTACGCATAACAAACATACTTTCAATTGCTATGTTCACACGGCAGCATTCTATCGGAGCCGAACTACTGCTCCTTCCATTAACAGGAGATTATCTCCAATGCATTCATACAGTCTTTGCTCTGCCAAGTGTAAATTAGAGCGCGTACCTCTTCTTCAAGCCAGAAATTGCATGAATTAAATATGTTGTCTCTGCCATAATTGAAATGATAGGTTACTTGAAGAAGACGATTGAGGGCGTGATTTCGGCTCCGATAGCTGGGCCCTGATGCATTTACACGATCAGAGCCATGTCGGGACTCAACCCTATCGGAGTTCAACCCCTAGAGTTTAGTGGAGCCGAACTTGGCTCGAGTCAAATGCGTTCACACGGCCATTTTTGCTGGCTCGAGCCACAGGGCTCCGATAAAATGCTATCGTGTGAACGTAGCAAATGTAACTAATCTTCAAGGACAAATACGCCTCCTAAATCAGTGAGTATCTATTATTAACAAATCAAGCTCATACATTCATATTCTGCAACTAAGTTGTCACAACATTTGATGGTGTATAAATCAGTCAGTTATTGGTACCTCATGAATTGTGGGAATTGTGCAAAGTGGGAATGCAACCTTAAACTCGTACCTTGTCCTGCTTTATATGACTATTGTAAAATTTATTAAACAAAAGAAGCCACTTGACAGCTTTCTAGGGGGCGCTATAAGAATACGACGTGATCCCTGCATAGTTTGGTTTCCAACTGCAATTTCAACAACACAGAAAATGATCAATTTTTAGATCTCCGAGTGGAATTTGGGCATGGAACCAGAATATGCTTTGCATTGCCTACAATCTACTGTGATTTTTCAGATATTCAAAATATTACCACTTTATTAAAAACCTGTTACATAACTTATTTCGACAATACAATTTGACATCTAGCTACAAATATGCAACCACAGCAATCCTGTGTACTGGCCAATTACTGAAAAACAATATAGACCTAGTAACACAGATGCACAAGACATAATTAAGATTGTTCGTGGACATTCAATGGTAGCCAACTACCAACAAAAAAGTCTAGCCATCATGCATTGATTGGGGAGGATTTGATATTTAACCTATTGCGGGCAGCATACTAATAGATAGACAAGGGGTGGAGTTGCCTGACACGATTGGTGGAAATAATCGACTCATTTGCATAAATTAATATTCATGAGCAATGAAAAATCGTCTTTTCAGTAAAATTGTGCCAAATGCTTTCCAATTTCATACATGATAGTTCTAAATTGACTGATTCTATCGTTACGAGCCGAAAAAATATATCGAAAAACAGGTGTTTTTTGAGACCTGTTTTTGATCAGACTTCAGCAAACAGTTGAAAATAACCACAGGTTTTTTCCTTTACCCTGATCATAGCAAGTTACGAAATTCATGGAGAATGCAGAGACAGGTTATATTTCGCTCTAGTACTATTGCTCAAAATGTTTTCGGTGACTTTTATCAGTGACAAGTTACCTAACTAGTATGCATTTCGAGAAACCAGTGTGTGTGCATGCGCAGTTTGAAATGGAATAATTTTGAACGCAATAAAATCATGCGTAGAACTCTGGCTCCAGTAAGAAATTGTGGTGTAAAACTGGCTGTCGGTTGAATTGTATTGCACTAGACATAATTTTAAAGCCTGTATTTTTCACTGAAATTATTTAATATGTTCATATATAAAAGGGACATTGTTGTGTTGACAATGGGCTACAGACGACTGACTTCAAAATGTTCTATTCAGATCGGATGGCGCCCTCTCCTGTCAATCCCCCCTGAGATAGACTTAACAAAATGAGATACTGGACAGCAGTTGTGTTCTCCCTTGTTCTGTACCATTCAAGTATTCTCAAAAACCATGGATGGTATGTTGATGAATACAGCTTTGTCACTATTTCTATTACAGCTGCATAATCCCTAGGATTATAACAATGTGTAATAGGAAATATAATTTTAATTGCCCTCTCATTGCCTAATATATATATATATATATATAAATAAACTCTACTAGATGTGTTAATCCTATGTGCTAACTAATTATGTACTCCATTGTGTGTCTTGAAAGGATGTATTGCCACTAAAAGTTTGAATTAAGGTAGAGATGCAGTTTACCTGACAGGTATTTTTATTTGTTAATTAGAAAACCAAGATGACCTCCCTTGTCCACAAAACTATATATTTTTGGAAAGCGGAAATTTTTTTAGTATTTTTTTTTTATGGACACTGTAGTTTGAAATTAGCCCTGAGTGATCAGCGGAAGGAGGCCAACCTACAGGACTGTACTCAGGGCTAGTTTGAAATATGCACAAAAATGTGCTTTTTTGGTCAAAAGTGATTTTTAAAAAATTAGCTTCTAAATCATGCTTCTGTTTCCTAGAAGTTTGCTAATGCTCATAATTAAAATGGCTGTAACAGTTCCAAATTTAAATGTATTATCGTTTTGTTAAAAGTTAAATATAGTGAATAATATGGAGATCCCGTCATTTCTTTTTTTCACCATGTTTCTTTTTGATTATTTATGTACAGCCTTGCTAAATCTTGCTAAGCATTCAAAAGAGAGAATGATTGCACCTGTTATCTATATTTTAAAATCGTTTTGTGAGTATGTTACACTATTCACAACTCTACAAAATTTTAAGTCTATAGCCAAGATTGTTTGGATAATAATAAGCAAAAAAAAAACAATTTCACTCCCAAGTGCCCACGAACCTGCATCTCTCTACCTTAACACTTTGATTTGAACAAACCTATGATTGACAGACATTTTGATTGCATTCCACAGAAAAATACAGTACTCCATGCAGAGCAATTATGCCGAGTACTCTGATCAAATGTGTCACCATGAAATGTGATTTGCATACTAAATTTGATTGCCATCTTTTCATTCATACACACGTTGCCACAGTTTAACCAATATATGTCACCATTGAGGTGAAAATCCAGGGAGGTGTTGATTCTTTGTTGGTATTCAGGTAAAACTTAGGTCTATCAAACATTCACCGGTGATCATGAAATATAACTTCTAGGCATCACTGTTTTCACTTCATATAATGCTCAATCATCATCTTCGTTTAAACTCGCCTTGAAAGCTTTTAACTTTTCTAGTCTCACTTTTGACTTCCTTTTCTTTTCCTGTCTTCTTTTTTCTTCTTTCTTTTTTTCAATAACTATGATACTTTCGTCTCCTTTATAAAATACATCCAACTTCTCTCTCAATATACGTCGTGATAGCTCTCTATTTTTACTCTGAGACCTAGTCTGGTGACACTGAAAACAGACACATACAAATGTTCCAGTCACAATCTTTTTGGAAGTAGCGGAGGAGGGTGGGCATGTATTGACATATTCAATCTGTAAGACACTCATCTTTCCTGTGCTCCATGTACATCAACTAAAAATTTTTTTATTATTTAAATCAACTGATAAAACTAAATAGATCTGGATGGAGGGCAAGTTTGGGGCATTCTGCAGTAATTCACCACTCATGGCAACACAAATACTGTGATACTGTGCAGTGTGCACCAATGATAAAAACAACACAACTAGCTTTATGGATCTTTCCGATTGGACGCCATTCTCTAGACTGGTGATGCCACGAGCCTGACAGGTGGGCGGAATGTATTTCCACTGCATTTTTACTGAGTGTGTGTATGCACCCAATCGTAGAATTCAAACCCACAATCTCCCTGATACTGGGCAGACAAATTAACTGTTAAGCCCAACATCAGGTCCATTAATTGCCAAACAAAACAGAATATGGATACAGTATAGTTCCCAGTTCACTATTGTTATCATAATTACTATCAACAACTTTCATTCCAGGTTAAATATGTGAGACTAAACTGAATATATACTCTCAGTGCAACAAAGGCATTCTCCTTCATCATTTGAAAACGTTCCAATGATATTCAATCGGCCAATAGAGAAACCACTTGTTTCAGTTTGAATTGAAAGGAATGATTTGTTTGCACTGAGAATACAGCATATAGCAAATATTAATACCTTCACAGTTATGCCACTTGGAATATGTTTTAATACAACACAGTTGCTTGTCTTATTGGTTGCCTGGCCACCAGGTCCTGAACCACGTACAAATTGCTCGTCTAGCTCATCTTCGTTTATTTCTACAAGTAGTTTAGAAATGTTATCTCTTTTCCACCTGACAAATGAATATGAGTACTGAGGAAACTGTGAACGTCTGAACAAAGTTGGTTTGGCACTGGCCTGAAAAATAAACTCAGGATTTGCGAGACGAGTGTTGTACCTATGGCAACAAATACAGGACACGTTTGCAGTTGACTTCAGGTGAGTTGAATTAGAAGATATCAGCTGTTTTGTGACCGCCGTTGATCGGACGCAAGGCTTGAACCACAACACAGTCCTACATAAGCAGTTCATTTCTGGTACGACAATCATCACCCAGATGTCCTAGTACCCATTCAATGAGGTGAATTTATCAGAGACTCGTTATGATTGGTCCAAGTATCGTAACTTGTCTCTTTACAACCAATCAGATCTTGTCTTTCAAACAATGTCCGGCGAAACTTTAATGCGCATGCTCAGGTCCGATCGTCTGCAAGGTTTGATAAGAAACTTCATTTTCGCCCAGCAGGTTTAAATTACTACACGCAAACGAGATATTGGTATGTTTTATGATTAGTTCTTTGATGTGTGTTGCTCAATAATAAGGATAACCGCAAAGACCGATGACATAATATTTATCGTGATGTATTGGTAAAGGTAAAGATCCTGCTGGGACCTGTCCTGTACGAGTGATCTGAATGTAAATCTGTATTGTCAACGCCATTGTTTGTGCAGCTATCAAGAAGGTGAGTTGGAAATACCATATGCATGTGAAAAACGTGTAACTCTGATACATAGTATGTGAATATTTCACATTGTCGTAAGATCTTTGTAGTTTACGAAGCACGTTTCTTAGCTGTCAACTTTGACAAGTGACGGTGAACTCTCTTGGCATTTGTTTACAAAACATGTTATCGTTTAGCCACTGTCCTAACCGATCACAGCATGTCAGTGCGTGTTCAGTCCGTTAAAACGAACTAGCAGCGAACCTAATTAAATACTAATCCGGCGCAAGTTTCAAAAGTAAAACCGTGGACAGTGTCTTCTGAAACGATTCAAGTAAGTTTTTTTTAATTATCGACACATAGCAACATTCTCGATGATAACAAAAACTGGTGTCGCTAGAGTCAACTTATCCAGCTTATCGTTCTTGACTTTTAATTGCGTTCATAAAGGTCAGTGTGATTTGTAAAAGAAAACGCTAGAAGTATTTGAATGGATGAGATATACTGTTGTGTAAATGTTTCTGTTGAATCGAATTTTGCCCAGCTATTGAGGCATGGATGGTTGAGGGTTGTAAAATTATACTTGGTGGACACTAATTACGAGTGATAGAGTGACTATGGCTTGTCAACCTAGAAATACTGGTACCCTTGATGGAGAAGGTTTCAAATTGCGATTTTATAGTTTATAGAGATACGTATTCCTGGTACATTTGTACTTCAGAAGTGATGCACAATTTTTTTTTCACTGTGAGATCCCATGTTAAGTGTGAAATAAATCATAAAAACAAGACAAACGAAGGTCATACATAGCATTGTGAATACCATCAAAACATCGCATGGGATTCAACAAATGTGAATGTATTCTCACAACTAATAACATGTTATGTACACTTTTGATGATGGTAAATTTTGATGAAGTAAGAGTATTTCTAAAAAATCATTCAGTTTTTGTGGTGGTCTTTTGATCTGTGCCTTTAATACAATACGGTGAATACAGTGAACGGTGAATACTCTGTTAGTTTGAGAAAATTATATAGAATACAAAAAGCAAAATTAATTACATTACAATGTGGCGACAATGACCAAACTAGCTGCAAGTGAAACAACTACATAGTTTAGAAGTATAAAAATAAACCATGGAGCCTACTGTTTCTGGATTTGACATTCCTAAAATTGTTTGACGACTCTTGAATTGTTGGAGCTAGGAGCCCACATGACTCTCTAATACCAGTATTACAAAAGTCTCAATACAAACTGAAGTATGTTCACAATTGACAATAAATAAATAGATAAAAACAAATACAACAGTACCAAGGATAAAAAATTGTGAGTGTAGGTCAATGCAGGTACATGTACACTGGTACATTTGGTGGACATGTTATAGCTGGAGTATAGGCCGACATGCAGCGGAGGTTAGTGCGTGGCGTACTGTCTGAGTGCATAATTTGAGGTATTCTCGTAATAACCTTATTATTAAACATTTTTTCCTTCCAAGGATACACCATGGAAATTCAAAATGTTTAGAACAGAATCAGCGAAATTCTTTGTGTTAGAGGACACTTACGCGCGTAATCATTCCATATTTGTAATTCGCATTTCCTAATATGGTAGGATGAAAATACGCCGTAAAATACCACAAAATTACGGCACGCTGTAACTTATGGTGTTACGGCGACAGATGTATAATAATAATCTTTATTGCAATCGTATCTTTGTTAGGACTTTAGAATAAAATGCAATACAGATATGAAATAGGGAAAATAAGGACTAAAAACATATTAGACATTAAAAAATATATGTATATATAAAGAAAATTGTTCACAATATTTCTGCTGATATATGTAGCTGTTATAAATTCTGTAATTTTTCAACTTGTTCAGGGAAATTACTTCTATCTGTTATTTTTAATCTTTTCACCACCAGTTCCCTCTTTTATCACAAATTTACAAAATAGCCCCATTTATAGTTTGCATTTTCCTTAAGAAGGTCGGAACAAAAATAGCTAATTTTTTTTATTAAAAACTGAAAATTTACTCAAATTAGGTCTTTTGGCTCCAAAATTAGGGTTATTTCCAGAAATATTAAAGAATATAAGAAAAACGTGCAGAATAATTTGGGCAAGAATGTCTGGTGGTAAAAATGTTAAGCAAATTAGTTGAATATTATTCAGTTACTTTTCAATGACTAAGAATATTGTGATGCTGTCAGTATTTGATTTTTATTGATGAACATAAGGATATACAGTGGTTTCAGAAAACTGGATTGGCTATAATAATTCATGTGTTTTTTTCACAATGTGCTACTAAGCCAATCAGATTCTAGTCGATACGCAAATGTTGATTGATTGACAACCATTTTGAATCGCACTTCCCAATGAACACTCGCATACTGGGTTGTCCCTTTCAAGAGCTGTATTCATCTGCGGTGACATTTATGGTGATTGTTCTGATTTGTAAATGGCAAGTTGTAATTGTTTTATGTTTATAGACTGAAAATGTTTGAAACTGCTTTTCTGAAAGCACTGTGCTGCATGAAAGTTTGCATTATGTTATGAGGTTTTCATATCTAGGTTATATCTAGAAGTTTTGCTTTGTTATTATAGAGCTTTGAAAGGTGGTAGTCATTGCAGCTGTGTGTTTTTGATATTATTCTTATGTTATGTATAGCAACATACACATGTGGGTACAAGATACTTCATACATTGTATGTTTATTTACAGTCATCACGACTACAGCTGTAAACAGAATTACCTGACTTTTCACAATTGTGTACCTTACTAGTTTTATCTAAATAGGGAATTTCAGGTACTGCTTGTCAATTTATTGTGATAGATATGATAAATTGTGTCAGTTGCAATTATTTTAAAAATGTTTTTTTTCACTTTCAGATGGCTGAACCAGAATCACCGAAGTCGCCCTCTCCAAATGCTTTAGAGGTGGTTCCTAGTATAAATGTGTCTGGTCCAACACCAACACATTCACCTGATAATAGCTCAGATGAAGAGACAATGTTGGTAAAAAGCAGTCATGTAGAGCAACCAGAAGAACATGTAGCAGATGGCAGTGTTGGAAGTGATGCTTCAACTATAGGAAATAAGTCACAGGATGATGTTATAAGCAATAATGTAGACGGTGGAGTGGATACGGATAAAGAAAATGAACATATAGATATCATATCCCAAGATGAAATGAATGTTATCACTCAAGATGAAACGCCTGGTGATGGTGATAGAGATGCAGATGAAGTTGAAAACAATGTACACATTGCAGATGATGGTGAACCATGTAAAGATGACAGTGATGTTGCAACAGATGCTGTGCCGTGTGAAGGTGGCCCACCCAGTACCAGTTTTGATTCCGGTATTGCAGGGAGCTTGGCTGTAACTGGTGCTTCCTCAACTACAACTGGTGATTACATGACATTACAAAGTGCAGGTGATGAAGATAGTAAGATAGATGAGATTGATGAAAAAGAAGAGGAAGATGAAGATGCCGCTTCAATTGAAACACCAGATATTGATTTCAGTCAGCTCCATGAGAATGATGACATAGACTTTACTATTGACACAGATCAGTATGTTCAAGAAGGCCTTCCACCACAACTTGGTAATTTCATGCTTTTCTCTGGCATGCCACCTTGGGCTCAATCCTCTGCCTCCCCAATGGGCTCTCTTTTAGCTGATATAATAAATGCTCAAATTGATGAAGATGCTAAAAATGCTGATCTACACAGAGAAGCAGAGGCACAACAAAAACATGTTGATGACATCAGAAAAGATGAAGAGGCAAGTTTCAAACACGCCGATTCAGAAGATGATTTGGAAAGCATTGTGGAGCAGCAAGAGAAATGGCAAGATCTTGTGAGGCTATTAGAACAACAACACCAACAACAAGTACTGATGCAACAAGATCAGCATAATCAACAATTAAAACTGATCCAAGCTCAGATGGAATTACTTAACAATAAAAAAAAGAAACGTCATACCAAGCATGGAGTGGAAAAGGAGGAAGTTGAAACAGAGGATAAAACATCCAAAGAATTGTCCAAGGAAAATGATGAAAATGAAGAATCATCACAAAAAGAAAAAGAAGATAAAGAAAAAACTAGGAGCTCAGAAGGTGTAGTTAACGGCAATGATGATTTAGATTTGAATGGTCTAGACAACATAGATGAGTTAGATACAAGTTTAACAGACTGGACTAAAAAACAACAGAAATCTCCAACATCATCACCCCCTAAAGCAGATCAGTTGAACAGTTCAGAAGATTCAACGCTATTTTCTGATTTTACCTATTGGAGAATGGATGAAAAAGAGACATTTAAAGATTTGCCTGAAGATCTAGGCTCTAAGTCAGAAGATAAGGTATGCATTATAAATAGCATTGAGATTTTACTTTAAATGTCCGTGTATTCTTGACTGTGAAATCAGTATTAGAAGCCATGGCTTCTGTTAATTTAAAAATGGGTATAATGCAACATTTGGGATGCAGCTTTGATGAGTACACAGCTACACATATGATAAACGATGAATTTTTGGTTTCACAATTGTAGAATAGGTGCAGCTTCTATTAAGGGATGTAGTTTAATACAAATTTTACAGCACCTGTAATGTGCTTATCAAAGTTGTCTTCAGTAGTACCCTGCATTTTATATACTTATTATTATAGCTGCTGCTCTATGCCTTCAACAGTGGTTTGCAATAAATTTTTGATATATTTTTTTGTAGTTTCCTCATGATCTGGCCTAGTTCACAGATATATTTTGTTCTAGGTCACTATTACATTTTGATGTTATAATTTTGATATAGATATAATTAGTATATAGGTCAGAGAATTATGTTGGCCTAGGTCACTGATGCATTTTGACATGGGTCACACGTAATTGAATCTAATAGTTTGATATAGACCATTTAATATTCTTGTAATTCTGAATGTTATAGCGGAAAATAATCCTATATGCCTTGGTCAGTATAAAGAATGAGAGGCATACTGTAAACAGCTTTAATAATAAATAAATTGTCAGTGAAAATCATAAAATTTTGTAAAAAATGTTCTGGGGTTCAACAACATGTTCATGTAGTGTGTAGAACTTTCACAAAATTTGGTTTTCATGAATTCCATGTCAAATTTTAGTGTGTCATAGTGTGGTATTTTCATTTCAGCATGGTGATGATAAAGTAACTAGTACTCCTAAGAAAGATGCAGCTCTACACAGATCATTTTCATCACCAACTTCACTTTCTGATGCATTTCTCAATTCAAGGTAAATATCATATGTTATTACTGATGCAAACACAAATTCACCATTAACCCTCTTTCTAATAGTGCTTCTAATCATTCTGTCAATTTTATTGACATCAATTTGTTTATCGTGTGAAATAGTATAAACTGGGTCCTCAAATTCATGTGTCACCATAACCTGTTTCTTGTATCATTGAAGTAGCAAAATGAGGTGCATTTTTTATTGACATGGGAGGCATTTTCACTGTGGATTACAATTAACTGGTGATGACCCAGAAACTAATACTTGGATTTTTACTCGTTGAAATTTAACTGTTATAATGCTATGAGAAGAACACTGCTTATCCAGATATGTTGAACAAATCATAATGAAAGTAAAAATACATGTAAAATTTAACATCTTGTATTTGTTAATATGTATATTTCAGTCAAAGGTTGACACTTCGTGAAAAACATGCACGTCACATGGCAGATCTGAGGACCTATTATGAAAGAGAAATTAAAGAATTGAAGGACCAACTAGAATCATCGTCAGATATCAAATCTAAGACTCCCTATAAAAGATTGGAAAGAAACAATGCTAAGCTGAAAGAAAGATGTGAACGATTGGAAATAGCACTGAAGTCTGCAAACAGGTATGAAAGAAAAAGGATTTGCATTGAAAACTCAATTTTGACTATTCAAAATAACTGCCAGAGGAAGGTTATTTTTACTTGAAAAATTTTTTTCCCTGACATCTAATTTTTGACACTTGTGAAATGACACCACACATGTTCATCATGATGAAAATGATGGGGTTTTTTCAACGCTAGTGCATCTCAGGGCATACATGATATTTAAATACAGCTTAGTATCAAATGTACCTTTTCTAGGCCACCTAATGTGTGGCATAATAAATAACATATCTACTCAGCATTGGGGATATTGGGGGTTGGACTTGTGTGGTCAGCTGTTCACTCAGCAGTTGAGGGGGGTGTTGACCACTTGCAAAGCTTGTGGCAACCTAGTAAGAAGAATGGCTTTTTATGTGGTGTATACTCTTCTTGTTTATGCAAATATCGGAAAGAGTTTCTTTTGTACCCCCATCCCTAACCCTAGCATGAGCTAATTTCTGTTTCCCAGCCATAGATTAATATTATTATTATTTATCAATATTTATTAGTTATTATTTATTGTTGTATTGTTATTCTTTTATGTAATCTATGGCAAATAAACAAACAGCAAACCCTCCAGCACTCCCCATTTAATTGTACATGCCCCTCCTAAGGACATCTATAGTTATCTAGAGGGGGCATATACAAATGAATTGGGTAACTGGGAGTGAGTGTTAGAGTTAGGGATGCCCAAAAATCACCCCATCACAATGAGAAGTGGGTTCTCTAATGAAAGCTGTGACTTGCATTTACCATGATGTAATTTTAAAGTAGTATGCATAAATTTCATTGATAACTGATTTATATCTGGTTAATTGCAGTCGAATTGAAGAGTTGGAAACCTCAGTACTCAACTTACAAATACAACTAGTAAGTATGGTTTTATAAATAATTAACGTATATCAATCTTGAGTATCAGATTGTCAAAATGTAAGCTTCAAACTGAATATCATTTTGATAGATTCAGAATATGAGAATGACAGCTTCTATCTCAAATTTATACCAATGTTCAGAGAAGACATACTATATACTCAATTTATAGTATTAAACATTTGTTCTTACAGATGAAACTTTAATGAATGTTTTTTTTTAAAAATTGCATTGAAGCATAAGTTTAAATTTATTAAAAATGCACTTTTTATGGTGTTTTGAGACAATCATATTTGATGGTATGAACAAGCCAAGCATAATTGTGAGAAAAGTAGGAAATATTAAAAAAATTAGGACATATATCCTGGAATTTATGTATTTTCTTGCCATCATATATACCCAGATACACAACTGTGTTATCGGCATATCCAATAATAAGTTGTTTAATTTGAAACATTTAATTTTCAAAAAACTATTAACAATACTGTAGAATACTTTATTTTCGCTTGGAATTTATTTTCGCTATTTTCGCTGAAGGGATGACTCCGTGAAAATAAAATCCAGTGAATATACTTTTTTTCCTATATTTCACATTAAACTCATCAAAAATCAGTGAAAATAAATTCCATACAAAACGCCCAAAAAGCCTTTTCAGCGAAAATTAATTCCAGCGAAAATAAAGTATTCCACAGTATTTAATTACGATACATCTTTGTTCATAGACAGATGGTGCTGAGAGGTATGATGTCGCTGTGGGTACAGTCAAAGCATTAGAACAAAGAATTGACAATTTAAAACTATACTGTAAACAAAAAGAAGGACAGATTCAGAGAATGGAGCAACGAAATCATGACTTAGACATGTCATTGCATGAATCCTATAGGGTAAGTAATTGACACAATGGAAAATTGCACATCGATATAGTGATCGTTGAAAACTTAACGGAAAATCTGTAGTAGAAGCCGCATCCCTAATAGAAGTCTGACTCGTTCTTTTTGAACAACTGAGAACTAAAAAAATCACCATTTATTATGTGTATAGATGCTCTAATAGAAACCGCATTCCCTCTGTTGCATTGTACCATTTTAATAGAAGACTCACCTACAAAATCAGTCCTGTTAGAGGGCACTCTGCAACACCATTCACAACAAAAAGTACTATTTTTACCGATTTGCTATATTTTAAATGACATTAATCTGCGAGTCGGCCAACGACGGAGAGAGAAATCATGGTCAGAGGAAACCTCATAGATTTTCTTCCACGTCACGCAACACTTGACCGAGGCAAAGAGGCCCGCGCCATCTTGCACCATGATCACTTCTGGTTTTCTCCATTTACGAGGACTAGGCCAATAGGCGGGTTGAAAACCTTCTGCCTAAATTTACTACGTTCAATTACCCACCATAGACTCCGGTCAGTCAAAATGACTATTTTGAACTGTAGGCAGAGTCAGACACCAAGAGGTGGTGGGTTTCCGGGCAAAAACAGAAACAATAAAGGGTGTCCCAGCCCGGAACAATATTTCCTACTTACGACTACCACCTAGTTAAGACCAGTAACAAACGGTGTCTTACCTTGCCAGTGTCGTCCCCATAACAAAGCAACTGCTGATAGGGTGACGTGATCGGCATGCCTGAGGACGCTAGACCCAAACCCAGATTCTTGAGTAACTAGCATTCCAAAATACTTAGTAGCTAGAGGGTATGATTTATTGGGACAAGTGTACTGTAGCAACTCAGATAATTAATGTTTTCAATTTTTCATAATGACAGTTACAAGATGAGCTCACTGCAAGGGGAGAAAGTAGAAGTCAAGAAATGCTGCAAAAGGTGAGAATAGTTTTATAAATATATATATATGTATGAATCTAATGATTTTAGTCCCAGTTTGGATGTAGTTCGAAAACAGGGAATTATAATTTCTCATATATGCATAGGTCTGTCCGCACCTGTATCTCAGGCATGCCAGTACTGATTTCATTCAAACTTCAAACACACATCACATATCATACATATGGGCATTTATTTGTTTCATGATCTAATTCAAGATGGCTGAATGGAGACCATTTTAGTGCTAAAAATTCATTATAATCAAGTATTCTAAAATTGAATCTTGGGTTCGCATGGACATATTTCATTCAAACTTGATATGTCCATTGAATATAATAGGTCCTTGATGCACATCATTCTTTTCCCTAGATTTGATTCAGAAGGGCTGACTAATGGCCATTTTGTTTTTACGGACGCTATTTTTTGATAATTTTCAAACTTTACACATACATAATTTGCACATGCATCTGTTTCAGAATCTGATTAAAAATTATCTTTTTCATACTACAAATGTATTATGAATGTCATGGGCAGAGTAAAGGAAAGGATCACACAAATAAACTGGCTCCAATTTGTATCAAGTTTGGCACATAAGTGTAAATAATTATTTGACACTAATGTTGACAGTCACTAAAAACTGGATGGGGACTTGTATTTAGTTTTGTTCATTTACTTTTGTCTTTGTAAGAACGATACACTCTATACTACAATAACTGCTCTAATAATGTAAGTATTGTTGTTGTTTTTTGCAGCTCATGTTAGAATATGAAGCCCTTGGCAAAGAACATGAAAACACAAAAGTAAGCATTTTATATAGTATGTAGGATTTGACAACTGTGCATGACTAAGAACCATGGCAGGACATATAAACTGTATTTATATCAACTAATACTGGAACATGACTTAAATTTGCAGCTTGTGGGTATTATTACTGCTTTTTGAAGGCTATTTTATTTGTCTTAAAGTCGGAACTCCAAAATTCTTAATATGGGCCAAGTTATCTTTACATTTTATTACATTATCCTGTTACTGCATCACTTGACATATGAGCATTATTCATTTAGTGTAATCTATTTATGTTCTTATTCCCAGTTCCATTTAAACAAAACAGAAACAGAATTGTATGATTCTAAAGCAGATTTGGCTAATCATAAAAGGTGAGTTAGGTTTTATTATGTGTGTCATTTTGCTATATCCTGGTGCTACCATTGAATAATTTTGCTATATTCGGTGCTACCATGTGTCATTTTGCTATATTCTGGTGTACTATATGTCATGTTCTGGTGCTGACGTGTGTTATGTTTCTTTATATTGGTTCTACCATATGGCATGTTGCTATGTCCCAGGGTTGCTATGTGTTATGCAAGTCTTGTTATTGTTGGGATAAATACCTTGTTGCTCTATATAGCATGAAAGTATTGTGATATGTGAAGTAAACCTTTGCTTGTAATATTTGTTTTCATAGGAGAATAAGCAAATTAGAGTTGGAGGTGAAGAGGCTAGATCATGAGAATGCAGTAATGAGAGAAACTGGATTATCACCAACAATTAGGTACCTTTGAGTTTCAAAATAATATATCAATGGTTATCAAATTTATTGTCAAAAAACACAAGACATTTGACTACATGTGTATATGTTGCTTCATGTGTATGACTACTGCCCTTTAAATTTCTGTATATGGGTTGAAATGGACTCCAAACAATGGAGATCATTTACTTTTAAGTTGGAAACTTGATTAGATGTGTCCATGAATATTACTGCAGTGATTGTATGTCACAATTATGAATGTAAATTGTATATTTGTGGAGATTTTTGCCAAGAAAAGCATGACAAACCGCAAATAAATTACACATGAACCACCAGTAAAGAAGGATTGTTGATTTGGGTCTTAAATAATGCTGATAATATAATGAGAAACTACGCTGAACTGCAATATTAAAGATTTATGACTGCTTATTTCCGCAGTTTATCCAGATTAAAGGAAAGATTAGCAGAAACTAAGTCATCCACAGGATCTGTAAGGAAGTGGTTACAACCAAGCGTAGATTATAATATGTTTACTGGTCAAGATCAGTCGCACAGTCCATTAAGTACAAGCTTACTGAGTACAAGGTAAATCCTTATTGCAATACTATATAGAAAGTATCTTATGAACATTCAATCTGCTTGCAAGAAACAATCTGATGACATAGTATGGAGATACCATGCAGATCTGTCATGATATGTGAGATAAAACATGTTTATTTGACGTCAAGGTTATTCACATCAATGTAACAATGTTTATTGTTTATCATAACATCACAGCAGATTAAGCTCATCTGGAGGAAGAAGTGGGAACATTTCTGGTCAGAGCAGCCTATTTGGAGCAACTAATGGATATGATTCGGCAAGACCCTCCTCCCCCATGATCAGAGCAGCAGCTCAGATGGACAAGTGGAAGAAAGATGACAAAGTCAGACCAAGAAAATTTTCTCCAAAAACATCAACACCATCTCCTGTAAAATCTGATCTCTCTCCATCGTATGCTAAGTTGCCAACTACTTGTACTACCCCAACTAAGTCTAGTAGTTTCAACAGAACTCCAAGGTCAAGTCCCAGGCCTGCATCTTCACCGGGTAGATCTTTGCTGACTCCATCAGTGGAGATATCTCCAAGGTTTAAAGGTTTAATGGATAAAGATAAAGGCAATGCAACCCGATTCGATGTCAATTTAAATAATATTGAAAAACCTGTGAAAGATGAGAGTCCTAAAAGGAGAGGAGACAGTAGCCCAGCTAAAGACTGGTTATTAGATAGTCAGTCACCGAATACAAATAATAAAGTAAATACGCCCGAGAAATCCAAGTCGCCCAAGTCCAAGTCACCCGGTGCTGCTGGCATCACAAGATTAGATTTCAGTAACCTGTCAGGTGAGTACTGTTTAATTTCTCTTTTTTCGTAATCTACCTTCTCCCTATTTCTGTATCATTAATTACATATAACATTCAATCAACCGACAACGTCTGCTGTAATCAGATGAGCAAGATGTGAAACCACTATCAATTTTCCCCTTTAGTAACCGATGTCTCCCTCTGACGTAACACTCTGGTGCCATCTGCAGCTTGTTGATATACTCTGACTTGAATATGTAAACAATAATGACAGTTGCCAATAAACTAAAACAAAATTCTGTCCAGACTCCCTCCTAATACACACACACACACACACACACACACACACACACACACTTTGTAACTTTAAGATCTAACCTATGAATCAAAATCACTACCTTGTAAGTCAGAAATAAACTGACATGTATTCTAATATAATGTTCACTGTTTTTCTGTTCTCCACCAGATAATGATTCATTATTAGATTCTACATTAGACAAAGTAAAGTCTGGTGTTTATACTGCTAGTCCAGCATGGGAAAAGAAACCAAAGAAATCCAAGAGTCCAGAATCAAAAGACTACAAAGTAAGCACTGTAGCGACCATAACCTTTACTCGTTCTGAGTTCTATTTTTTTTTAAATCTGGAATTGTAGTCACTTTACAATAAGGTGTTTTTTATTCATTCCTCTCAGCTTCACAGTATATTCTGACCAGACCACTACCAAACATGAGGTACTAGTACATGTATTAGGTTTGGGAGAATGGCATCCTATCAGACGGGGATGAGTGTTAGCCATTGTACTGTTCCTGTCCTCAGAATCCCCATCTCAAAGAGCGCTTCTGTTGGATGTTTGGCTCCTTTCGTTCATATCTTCCATATCTCCCAGTTGATCTGAGTAATAAAGGCAGCATTATCAGTAACCAAATAGCATTGTACATTTACACTGTAATTGTCTTTTGAATTACAGACTGTGCACAATTCAGATGCAGCAATCATGGAAAGAATCAAGAAAGTCAAAGAAACAGAGAGAAAATTAGATGAACTGATTGCAGAGAAAAACCAGTTGGAATCCACATTAAGTCGTCTACCCCACTCTGGACCCAGGGCTACTTTGCATACCAGACGTGAACAGGTAAGGAAAAACTTTACTGCTACAAATCAACTGAATTCCAAAACTTTAATTACTTATAGCTCGATTCACAAACTATCTGAACTTTCCATGTCATTAATCATCAGTTAGGAATGGATCATGGTACTATTCAATATCTCACCTAGGGCATTGACTATCAACCATTTAAATTTGTCTCAACCCAAGCATATACTTAATCTGACATGGGATCATGTTGTCATCGGAAGATTTGCTTAATTTTTAACACAACCTTGTCAAATGTTCTGGATCTAGTTTTTGTGTCAGCGAATCAACAGAATTTTGTTCCTATGAAATTGTATGATAGAATATCTTTGACCAAAAAATTCCCTGGTAGAGATTGATTATTACCATTTTGAATATATACATATACACTTGTTATTAAAAAATTGAATATGAAACATAATATAGTAATTATTTTGACACATTCTAACACACTGTTCTATTACAGCAAAGAATAGAAGAGAGGCTGGACAACATATCCACTGAACTAGGAACCATCAGAATGACTTTGCGCAAAAATTATGTTATCAAGACATAATGAAAGAATGAAGGAAATTAGTCTTTTGTTACTGTGATTGTGAGCTGCCGTGTCTATAAACTTGTTTGTTTGAAGGATGAAATTATAAATCATCACCTATAGTGAATGTTTGAAACTAATTTAACACAAATCCATCCTGTATGTCATCTTGAAATGTGTGTGAATTTCGGTTTTGTTAATGAGTGGAAATCTAGTGAAGTTTTGTTTTGTTTTTATTTGCAATTTTATATCTGTGTGAATCAAGACATTGTGAAAGTAATCTAAGGTGGTTAGATAAGATTGCAATATTTTCAATAAGTGAGAAGTCTCTAAATTATGTCAAATTAAATTAGTGTGCTTAAGATATGGTTCAAATTATGATTATTATGACATTATTTTGGATATTCAAGGTTATAAATCAAATTTTGATTTAATTTAGTCAGTCAGTCAGTCAAGGAAACTGTCTAAAAA